CCCAACAGCCAAAGTCGCGCTCACAGCAGGGAACTCAGGCGGCAATGAGGGGTCGAGCAGGGTGTCTCATTTGGAAAAGCACTCTACTACCGGTCCTTAGGTGATCTCAGCAACCATGAAGAGCACTAGGCGCATTAACGAGCTAAACATGTTGCTGGGGCGTCGTGTTATAACCTACCGTTAATTGTCTCTGAATCGACCTGCCCGACGAAGGTGTGAGATATGAAGTAGTCTATGCAGGAATATAAGATAGAAGTATCCCAACGGTTACAAAATAGTCAATGAGAACAAAGACATTGGCACCTAAAAGAAATGTGCTTATTCAGCGTCTTGTTCAAAGTTGTGTCATGCCACCTCAGGAAGCGGACTTTGCCGTCAGTGGTTCACGACGACAACTGTAAACCCCCAAGCACAATCGCTAAGGAAACGCACAAAAACGGTGAAACTGTAGGATACGAAACAGTCTATCCAAGAACCGGAGATAGGAATATCCCAACTTTTAGGAACCAGTAAGTAAGAACAAAGTCGTTTGCAGATAAAAGCACGTGCTTATTCAAAGTCTTGCCTAAAAGTCGTGTTTAAGTTATGTCAAGGCATATTTAACCAAGTAAACGAAGACATAGTTCAATGTGACTACAATACTCCCCCCCCTAGGAGAACGGAGTTCAAAATAAATGTTAATAGGAGGATAATGTGGAGTGTTAAGCATAGGATACAAGTTGGTAACGGTCGGGGAAACGGAAATGACGGCCACTGCGTGTAAGGAGAGGAGCATGTGGGATATGGGATGGCGCAGGGCTAGCAGGTGTAAGCGGAGTCTAGGAAATAGTAAGTGACAATGTGCCAGGTGGAGGTTGTTTGGTTGAGGCAGTTGAAAGAGGCTCGATATAAGCCGCCTTCAAATGCCCGACTGAGACCACGTCGGTGCGACCGCCACCGACAATCGCAAAAGGCTTTTCCGTAGTATTGAAAATGGTCCATCGTAGGGCTGTCGTAGAGGCCAGAGAACACCGTCTGCGCGGACAAATACAGAAGAACATGTTGGCAAGTAAGGCTCCATATAGGACTTACATGGTGGAGCACGTGGAGGAGTTGCTCGAAGATTTGCCATTGCCTGACGCAATGAAAAGACGACGTCACCAATGTGAGATATGAAGTAGTCTATCCGGGATAAAAGTATGCTAACAATTACAAACTAGTAAATGAGAACAAAGAAGTTGGCAACTAAAAGCAGCGTGCTTATTCAGCGTCCTATTCAAAGTGGTGTCAAGTTAATTTTAGAGAATATTTGATTGAGTAAAACAAAAGAGACATGCCACCTCAGAAAACAACTCGGGGACCGGACTTTGCTGTCAGTGGGTCACGACGATAACTGTAAACCTCCAAACAGAACTGCTAAGGAAACGCATAAAATGGTGAAACACTAAACTGGAAAGTACATGTTTAGGAGTTTAAGTAGACAGCTGGTAGGTGCCATGTTTTGCCCCAGATGTGAGGGGAGGGTGGGGCATTATCGTCGGCTGCCTTAGATGCACATCAGACTTGGCCTGACGCATCAATGTAGATTGTAAAAAAACATTCCACTGATGCTCTCTTAATTATCCCGGCTGAAAAAAACAATGCACGAATATAGGGCTCCCCTGCGTCCTAACTGTCATGGTCCGTTGTCAGGAGGCAGGGCTCGTTAATGCGTTTGGCCCACCCATCAGATGGTGGTGATGCATAGTTCTAGAACCAACCGAACTCTAACTTTAAAGGGCCGCGTTTGTTTAGGGGATTTGCGTTCCATTTTTATCGGTTTACGTCTCAGCTAATGAGTAAGGCACCCAGTATCGAGAAGCTTAGGCGAACGCCTTAAGTGAAGTTCTCAAAGTTCTCAGACTCGATATATTTTACACTTCAAGCTTACAATCGGATGGTGCTGTTTGATAAATGTAAAGCATTTTTCCCAGGTACGAGTTTAAAGCAAGCGTACATAGCAGGATTTATTTGTACAAACAAATTTCGGGACAGACTTTCAACTGCTTCCTGTCTTTGCATGAACTAGCTGACAAATGCAGAACACAAAAGTTTGAATTTCCGCCGAATCAATACACAACAGCAAGGTCATTTTTCAATGCAGCGACTAGCCAATGTAATTAAATGTAAGCATGCGATTACCAGGGCCGCAGAACATTTACTCAATTGGCTTTTTAAACAAGAAAACAAAGTACCACGGTCCTCCATTACAAAACATCTGCTAGACGGTGGTCCTTCTGAGAAGTAGAAGACAACTCGATGGTCATGGCTGACGTGACGAATCAGAACACACTCAGCGCATTTATCGATTTTTTCTGTACGTTTAAATTTTACGGCGGAACCCTATGCACACACAAACTGTTTCTGCTACTGTTCTGTGAGTATGTCTCTGATGATGAATCGCGCGACGGATTTCGAAACGTCAGGCAAATAAACATAGTGTCCCAGCGATCGA